CTTTATGTGAATGTAAAGAACAACAACCAGTGAAAGCTTTGGAGAGCATAACGTCTCGAAACGAGAAAAAATACCATAAAGTAAAGGGTCTTCGAATTGTGGTCCTTTTCCTCCACGCTAGCCGAATACTCCGTTTCTCAGCCCCAGTATCAGACCAACCAGGAATGATAAGAACAGTGACTCATTTTCAACTTCGCTTGAAGGCACATTGCATGAAGGCAGGTATGGGGTGGGGCGATTTAATGGATTTCAGGATTCTAATTGTAAGTGAATCATAAAGGAAGACTAGGCGACATAGAACAACAGATCACACTGGCGAAGGAGGTCAGTGTCCCTCGCGCTACACTCTGTATACACGGTGAGAGTGGTCGTAGTTGCGGACTGAGTGGCGCGTGCGGCAGCGGTCTCAAGAATTTCTGCTCCTTCCTACAGTGCATACTATTCGACTTCGTTAAGCTTCAGTTTAGTTAGTGTTTGTCGACGCTTCAAATACAACCAGCGGGTGTTTTCGTTGAAGGAAACTCCCAATTTTCTGATGGTGACTGCGATGTGTTACACTAAGTACGCAATTACGACTCATCCGTCTCCTGGATACGGAGCGCACATTTGTGATTAGGCATTTTCCGTTATAAGGAGGAGTGAAAATCAAGCCAGTGGTCCCTAGCTACAGAACTTGTAGCACCTTCGACTCACGAAATTGGTCCATTACTGTAGGTGCAGGCGTGCTTATGGTTGGACAATAGGGATTTTACCCCTGGATAGCTGTGGCCTATGCCGATTAGTGCCCTGCCCGTCGAATAGACTATTTCTACACTGACTGAATCTGCATGAAAGGACTCCGCCAACACCACAGATATTGAAATCCTGGCCCACTGTGAAAGAAAACGCCAGCCCCTCCCAACGTGTATGCTGCTTTTTCCTGTGTCAACACAGTGCACTGCTGAAACGTCAAAGGCGCTTATTTGTTCTTTGCGTTTGAATTAGCTGTGCTGAAGACACCAAGTAACCTCGTTTAGTTGAGGTTGTTCAAAAAGAGTTCAGACGAGTAATCTCATGGAGCCTTACAAAAAGTGTGGAGTTAAGCAGCAAATAACCTCACATCACCAAAATGCCAAGGTTTATCAAGAGTCACACATGGCGCTTACAAAGAGCTATCAGAACTCTACAGAGAAAGGGGATGGACTATAGTGAGCAAAAATATCGTGCACTTGGGAAAAACAATAAGCTACTATTTTTACTTCGGACATCCTCCAGTGCACAACATAGCGTAGTCTCGAGAGTTGCTGCCATTCGCAGTACAACTGGTAGTCAGAACATCGTCGTTTCGAGCGCCTTGCGTTTTTCGTTTTGACCTTAGGCGATTGAACAGGCGATTGTTCTCGCTTATTGCACGTTCTGTTAACTGCTGTTGAACATGTGTAACTAGTTGTGAGAGAACGAAGTGCAAGAAAGGGGAGGGAGTGCCTCTGAAATGATTCCTTGCCGCTACCATTGGGACAACTCGTCGAACAGCAAAGACAAGCAGATTTTATCTTCAGGTATCTTCGCTGCGCTGTCTCCTATTGTCACTGTCGCAGGCGCTATTGTCTCTCCTAAAACGCCGTGCGTCTGTCTGAGATTTGAGGATCTATAACGTCGCGAGCTGAGCAGTTTTGTTTCATCTTAGGCACTGGATACTGGCAGCTAGTAGAATGTGTCATGTTGAAGCAGCATAAAGAATGAATTCCGCATTAATTGGTTGATTAGTTTTGTTCGTCCAGTTCAGTCAGTTGCAGAAAGTCTTTGCTATATTTTCCGCCAGCCTCGTGTCACACATTGTCTTGTTTTCGAGAGCATCCACCTATGAAGTCTGCTGTTCTGCAAAGTGATTTTCATCCGTGCGCTTTCGTGCCACAGCTCCATAAAAAACTGAATGAGTGATGGCTAGATTAACAGAAGCATATGTTCGTTCTCCACATGTGCAAACGGCTTCCTGCATGGCGTCCGCATGATGGGAGGGTCGGTCATTACGGGACCTAATGACTCATTTCTCGTTACTGCGACAAGTTCTTCTAGCCAGGCTTGTAAACAAGAACAACTCTCTTAGTTAGGTAATGAGAAGTCCATGGAGATACGGTTACCACATTTAACTTACTAGATATGCTCCCAGTGAACACGTAATAACAAATATTCCCTCAAGTACTCAAGCATTCCAAATAAGTTTCATACGCTCGTTCGAGGCAAAAGTTAATATATTACTCATTAGTCGAATGATGATAGAATGTGGACTTTACTCCGCCGCATTCTTCACTTCTTTTCCGAAAGCTTTGATAAATCCCAAGGCTTTCCCCAGAAAATTCTCTTCGCCTACTTGTGATTGCTTATAAATCCGCCCACAAAGTAGGTCTAAGAGCATCGGATTTGTTAGAAGGAACAGCTGCTATCTGGTGCTGCTCCCGATTTCTCTTGATAATTCTATAAAAGAGTTTCCACTTGATTTTTTTTACTGTCGCTGTCGTACAGTCCTCATCATTGCGGACTGTCGGGGCGGCACAGCCGCGCTGCACTGTGACGCGACAGCGGCTGCGGCTCGGTGACGGCGAATCAGCTGATTTCCATGGAATTCGGCTGCGAATTCCCACTTTTTCAGCTCTTCAAGCTTCGAAAGTGGAAGGTGAGTTATTTTGAACAATTTTAAATTGTACTGACTCTGAATGAATCTGAAAGAATGCAAGCCATTTGAATAAATGCCTGAAATAAGGCAAAATACAAGGAAAAGAGCATAATAATAGACATAAAAATAAAGGAAATCAGAGCCAGTACAATTCAAAATTGTTCAAAATAACTCACCTTCCACTTTCGAAGCTTGAAGAGCTGAAAAAGTGGGAATTCGCAGCCGAATTCCATCGAAATCAGCTGATTCGTCACCGAGCCGCAGCCGCTGTCGCGTCACAGTGCAGCGCGGCTGTGCCGCCCCGACAGTCCGCAATGATGAGGACTGTATATACTGGCGCGTATATAGCATGGGAAAATACGCCTTTCGTTAGCGAGCACTGCGTTAGCGAACAATAAAATAGAAGAAAAGAAGTCGTTTGTGACGGAAAAATACTCACTTCTGCCCTTCTCTCATGATTCAGCACTTTTGTCTTTTCTTTAGAGATTTCTGTCTTGCGTACAGTTGCACTGCATGTGCACTCATTATCCGTGCAAACGGTAGGGCGTGTGTGAGGAGGGGTGGGGGGGGGGGTACATGGACCGCAGCCAGATAATCTTTTCCGACTGTTGCGAACTCGGGACGGCATCATTGGTGGAAAAGGCCATTCTCGCTGCTTAACCCCCCCCCCCTCATGCCGTTTCGCTTGCAGAGATAGTGACTGTAATTTGACGAATAATCCGCCATTGTCTTCCTGAGCCACCCTCTTATGTCGTAAATACGGTAAGTGGGATAGGGGAAAACATGTGATGGAGCTCTAGAATTCAAGTGCTCACGGTCCAATAAACTTATTGTGGCTTGTTAGGTTCTATTTTGTCCGGTTTAAGAAAGCCTGGACCAAACAGACCATTTCGGAACAAGTTTGGTGGGTGAGCTTCTTGTAAAACTGTTAATGCCTCGTTCTGTTTTCTACCATAGGATTTGTGTAATCTAGCCACATGCCACTGCTTGCATACTGCCGCCAGGATTGTGACTCTCCTAACACGACAGTATTCCTCTGCAATTACGATCTAATTCGATGTTGACAGTTGCGCTCCAATAACAAAGTAATTTGCTTCTTCAGGAGTAGACGTTAGATGATCCATCACCGCCGCTACAAAAGAGACAAAGCTGTGGAGAAGTTCGTTCCTTTGGCGCCGTCCTACGAACTAGTTCTTTCTCACGGTAAGCACATATTTTCGTTGCTTGCAAAATGAACCAAAAAATACTAGGCAATTACAGATGAACCACCTCATATCGACTCCACACTTTCTGTCACCGTTGAAGAAGGCCAGACAATACGTCTGAAATGCACCGCTGGAGAAGGAATTGACGAGCAAACGCTTAAATTTGAACGAGAACTAGAAGAGGTTTCTGGAAAACGCACACCGAGGAGGTTTGTCAAAAAAATCTCCTGAACTCTCCTTCCCAAAGAATTGTGGTCATTTCAGCGTCAGTCAACACATATTTAACTTTGACGATGCAGCACATAGCGGACTGTACGAGTGCTTCGCACGCACCACTTCGGGAGAAGAACATTCGCGGAAGATGAGAGTCTCAACGAAGGTGCGGTTTTTTGACGCTGCGAATGATCGCTAAATTTCTGTGAAAGTTCTGGAGTACAATGCTTCAGGCTGTTCTTCCAAGAGACTTCGTACCTTGCCCTAATGGTGATGATTTCTGCGGAGCCAATGGACGATGCGGAATGAAGGGCCAAGATAAGATTTGCGTGTGAGTGAATTCCCTTGGAGAACTCTGTGCTGCAAGCGCGACTATTAGCCCTGCTGCAAGAACTCCAGATAGGCCAAAGTTGATTTGTTAGGATGTCCCAAAAGTCCGTGACCAAAAAACTTCTGTGACCAAAACCCGTGCCAGATTTTTCTGTTGCGTTTTCATAATCCATTCATATAAAAGGTTCACACTTTGCGGCAGCTTCCAGAAGCGACCATTAGCGTCCACCAGCGATCAAGCGTGCGTCAGCGCCAGAGACTAGGAAAGTGTAGATATCGGCCCTAGCAACGGCAACGCCTATCAGCGTCAGGCGGCGATCATCACTATCTCGAGAAGCTAGGAAAGTACAGATATCGAACCAGTCTCTACCAGCGTCCACCAGCGACCTCAGTGTCCACCAGCGACAAGGAGTACGGAGAGTACGGCGTGGTTGCACACAGCACAATTTCACGACGCCTGACTCAGCTGTATCCTCGCTCCTACTTCCCCATACTCTACCAGCAGTCTGCTACCTTTCTACTTTCCCCATACTCTCTACTCCTGGTCGCTGGTGGACGCTGGTAGACGCTAGATCGATATCCATACTTTCCTAGTCCCTGGAGGCGCTGATGGTCGCTGGTGGACGCTGCCGCGAAGTATGAATGCAACCCAACTCAACAATGCTGACTGCGATCAAGTGTCCTACAATGAAGGAAATTGATGAGCGTCGAACAACACTTTGTCCTTCACCCCTATCAATATTCACAAGTCTTGTTATGTTCTCTTCGTAATATCAGATGCTATTCAGATGCGACCCTGGCTACGTCGGACAACAGTGTGAGCATCTTCTTGTAAAAGACTACTTAAGTGAGTTTCCGATATCGAGTGCACCACAGAAGCGGCGAATGATGCAAACTATGTCCACAGGGAATTCAATTTTAGTTACAACTGCGAAGGTTGTCGCCGGCGCAGGAGGAACTCTCAATGTTACTCTCATATTCCTTACAGTACTCTTCGCTACCTTATTTATTAAAGAGAGGTAAGATCTTGGAATCTGTTGTATGTATCTCACACAGGACAATAACCGAGAGAATCTCACCGGGCTCTCGAAGGGGGAAGGGGGGGGGGGGAACACAGGGGATTCGAAACAGCTCAGGTGTTGAACTGCCATTTTGATGCGAGCTGAGCTATTTGTCGCTCCCGTTTTAGTTGGGTGCCTGAGTGTTGCTTTTGTAACAGCACAATCAACTTGTTCCAAAAAAATACGCCGGCAACAGCAGAGGCGCGCTCTTCCCCACAGCTTCCAGAGTTTCAAAGAACTGTTTCAGAAAGCGTTTACGACTTCTTCGATCTCAACAGTCATACTCAGTAGAAGAGCAGACATTCTTCGTAAAGCCACAAAACCCCTACAGCGAGGGTGATTCGACGAGTCGAGAAAAAGTTCACCTTCAACGAGGTTACGCTTTCGACCAATCAATTCATCGCTCTACACGCCCGTCAGCCCTTCGAAGATTCCGAATTGCTATCAGAGTGGGTTTCAAATATTTTTGCTCGACAAGGACTGCCTATGCACTGTCCGGGATTCCTTAGTCAGCGGAGCCCACAAACAATGTCTCGCTGGCGCTCCTACCCTCCACGCCTTCTATGACGCAGAAAGGGAAGGGAAGAATAGTAGCCCAACCATGACGTCGTTCGAGGCTCCGACCCACCCGGAACTCTTTCTTCCTCTAGTGTTCAATTACGGTTCAACAAAGCATAACATGGTCTCAATCTCATTTTTAGGACCGCCTTTCTGCTAAACCAAGTGGAATCTCAGCAGAAACACCGCCGATCACATAAGATACTCCACTCTTATCACTTCGCATAATGTTCTCAAGCTCCTTGCTACGGTCCTGTATTCATAATATGTTTTGATTGTGTTATATTTCTAATAATAAAGTATATTTTGTGTAAATGTGCAATTCTTGATAGGAAGGGGGCGGAGTTTGAGTTCACTTCTTCCTCTGGATATGTTTACAAGAAGCCTTCAATATTGACTATCAACTCAAATAATAGGGCTACATCGATAGACCTGGGCCATTCGCAACGTCTAGGGATTCAACGAGACCTAAAAGGAGTTTACAGACATCGTTGGCGACTGCAAGTCGCTGGTAATGGGGCTCAAAAATGTATGAGGTAATGAGCCAATAGTGACGGAAAGCTCAAAGGAACGGGCAGCGTGAGCCAATAGTGACGGAAAGCTCAGTTAAGGCGAATCCGCTTTCGTTGTTTCTGGACATGCCGGCTTCATATCAGCAAACTGAGACTGCCGCCGCCTTGCATCCTGGTCACACAATCATTTCTCTGTACTCGAGAACCGTCAAAAATCAGAAAAATAACGTAGACATAGAGCTTATATAACCTTGAAACACACTCTGCGCGAACTTGATATTACCATGACCCGGTGAGCTATCGCCTCATTAGTGAACTGAGATATCACGCAACATTTGCTTTGATAATAAGTTGAGTCCTGATCCTGCCGATCTCGCCCACAAATCCTATTCTCGGCATCAACGTAATGTGGGAGTGGCGGCCACAGCCGGCTGAAGCACAGTGTTCCTCCAAAGAAATAGGAGAACTACAGAGCTTCACTCAATAAGGGGAACTCCAAATTCTGGTTCTACTATGATCAGTGGATTTTCCAAGTACAATATAAAGCTAGGTTGGTTACCGTGACGGAACTAGGACGTCTACCTCAACGGACAAACAGGCTGAGAAGTTTTCCGTTAAGGACCAACTCAGGACCGCCAGGTTCCCCATTATCAACATAGCCCAAAGGCCGCACGGCGAATATACGCTCATGCTGGCGGAAAGACATTCGTGGTGGACAAAAACGAAATGGGCCGAAGCTAAAAGAACTGGAAATATAGTCTGCACTACCGTGGAGAACAATTCGAAGTCAACGTTGTTGCCATAATTGAGTGACAGAAGTTGGAGCACGTGTGGAGGTTCCCGATTTCCTCTTGTGAACTACCGTGATCTTCGGCAGAAGAACAATTCATATTACCTGCCAAGTAGGCAAGCGTGACCAGCACCATTAACGGCAAGTCTTGGGAATAGCTTGACTTGACACTCACGCTTTCACTCGACGAAGACCTCTACAACAGGCTGATTTCAGTGAAGATATAGACAGAAGCAGTCAGCAGAAGACACTGACGAAGATAAACACGAACAATTCGCCCACCGCACAAGTAACACTACCACACATTGGAGTACGCCATTTCGCTGGATTTGGTTATTGCCAACTCATTCTCCCAGGGAAGGGATCCCATCTAGTCACGTACTACAGTGGAGGCCGTAATACTCATTGCCAGACTGAATTGTGGCGCGAAATATCCAACGATGTTATGTGCCAACGACAAGATGATTGTGTTATCGGTAATGGTTAACAGTACCGTTCCGTCATTAAGATCCCGACTAATTGTCTGTCTTCACGCTACCTAGAGCCAACAGAAAGCTTTTGAGAGGAGGAAAAATGCCAAGCCTGGACCAGCTGTCAAGGACCGCTTATTGATGCACCCTCCAGGCCACGCCAGAGAATGTCGAGACGAGCTGGATGAGAATTGTCGGGAAATCCGAGACAAAATCTGGAACAGTCTCAGATCATTGGCTGTGCGAAGGACTTTATGCGCGCACCGGATTGAAGGCTCTTTCTGGAACTAGTGAGGTTCAAGGCTAAGGAAGGACGCGTGGAAAACTTGTGATCTTGACTCCGCCGGAGAGACCAGAGTAGGGTACCGCGATGGTATGCGGACAATGCTAGTGTAATCAAGAGCAAAGCAAGAGCTCTTGCTGCCGACCTGGACACAAAAGAAGGAGAAAAACAGATGTGACCTCGCCAGATTTCGTTTCATGACATAATTTTACGAACACTGCGACGTTCGTGGAAACTAGCAACGAAGTGTTCCGCGTGACTTCGACAAAATCAAAGAAACCTGGCTGAAATACTACCCGAGGCTTTGCAACGTCGAGTGTCTTCAGCCAGTGCTTCCGAATGAACCACCAAGGGTCCATTCATGCCGGGGATCAAGAGCAGTTCAAGAATGCTATCGGGAAGGTGAAGAGCGAGAAAGCCACTGATCCACATGACCTTCCCGCATGGGTATGAAGGTATTTCCGAATCGCTCAGGATGCGTTGATACTTTGTAGCAGCGTCCACCAGCGACCAGTAGCGTCCACCAGCGTTCCAAGCGTCCGGCAGCGTCAGCGACTAAAAAAGTATAGATATCGATCTAGCGTCTGCCAGCGTCTACCAGCGTCCGCCAGCGTCTGCCAGTGTCCAACAGCGTTTCGGTGGCTACGGAAGTATAGTTATCGATCCAGCGTCTGCCACCATCCGGGAGAAGAGAGCACGGCGCGATAAGTAGACGCGATAGGTAGACGCTTGTGCACACAGGCAGACGCTATATCAATACCTATACTTCCTAGCCTTCGAGACAGTGGTAGACGGTAGACTGATACCCAGACTTTTCCGACTGCTGACGCTTCCAGACGCTCGTGACGCTGGTGAACGCTACTGGCCGCTGGTGGACGCTGCCGCAAAGTGTGAACGCAGCCTCAAGCAGCTCTTCAACAAGTGCATGGATTTAGGACGAGCAAATTAGGACCGGCATGCATCCAGGAAGAGAATTGAATTCGCCAGGTGCACCAGCTTTAAACCGATTTGTCCTAGTTCCACATTTCATAAGTGTTGGAACATGTACAGAACAAAAGACTGAGGGGAATCTATTAACATAAGTCGGATGTGGTGCGGATTTCGATGTGAGCGCGGGACCTTTAACGCCATCCACGTTGTTGGCCATCTGATGGAAAAGCTAGAAATAAAAGAATGAGCCGCTTCATCGGGCCGCTCTGGATCTGGGAAAAGCATCTGAACGTGCACCGTGTCAGCTCATTGGAAAGCACAGCGACGCCACTGCTTTTTATGTTGTGCACGGACTACGCGATGATGACCAAGGAGCCGCGTTTGTCGCTAAGGCACCGTTCATACTTCGCGACAGCAGCGGCGATCGTGGCAGACGTACGTGGCAGAGCGCGCCCCAACGCTATTATGGACCGCTCGCTTGATAAATAAGGGAATCCAACTTGTGAGACCTTCTTTTCTCTTAATAATGGCTACTAACTGATAACTTACGACTTTCTATACATAAGCGGATCTGGAATATGAGGTAAGGAGGTTTCACTTTTTTAGGTCGGGATAAGGCCAACTCCATTTCCTGGGTGAGCTTCTTTTGTTTCTTTGTTTTTATTGTTTCAATTTATGCAAGAAAAAAAATTCCTATTGTCTAAACTGTTCCAATTTCCAAAACATTTATAGTTCACAAGTCGAGTTCAAACAACGAAGAAAAAAGAAACTCACCTAGGAACCAAAACACTAATCATTTTACGCAACATCAACAGGTGAAAACTTTATAACCTCATGTATAAGCTCGACGAATGAAAAAAGAAACAATAAAAACCACCCTAAATGAAGCTCTCACGCTTTGCTCATTTCTATCCTGAATCAAGAAAGAAAATAGAAAACAAAAGCCATTAAGTTGGGTTCACCTTTCTTTGTGTCAAACCAAGCTTCAGTACCTAAGAAAATTGCAGTTAAAGGAAAAAAAGCATGAAATTGAGTCGCTTCTCCCCAAAAGCCTTCGGAGCGCAAGTAATAGCGTTGGGGCGCGCTCTGCCATGTACCGACGATCGCGGCGATCGCCGCGGTCGCCGCTGCTGTCGCGAAGTATGAACGCTGCCTAATATATGGTACGACCTACTACAGACGGACCGACAGAAGGAAACTTAGAGCCACTCTTCAACTGGTGAAAGCTGGTTAATCACAGACTGATGGTGAAAATCAACAAAACGGAGTATACTCTACTTCGCAGCGGACGGCTGGGCGTGTCAGGCAGTTTTATGACACGCCGTCAAAGCCGTTATCTGCCTTCTTGTTGGAGCGCGCATGCGAAAAAAAGTGGTAGAAAACTAGTAATACCAACGTGATACAAACCAACGATATGGTACAATCATATCGCTTGTTCGCATCAGCAACTGGTGGGGAACAGGTTTAGCACCGCACCAACTTCATCCCGCTTTACATGCCCAACCGTCCGCAGAGAACTACTCTATACTACACTATACATATGCAGTACCGCCAGCTTCTTCAACCGAACGACAGAACACCAACCTCTTCACCTTAGATGATCCCGTCTCTCCTATTCACGAGATCGTAGCGGCGGATACAGATACTGAGGCCTCAGCAACTTCTAGAGAAAAAAAGAAGCTGAATAAGTGGAGGTCTGCTACTGCCATTCCCTTTGATGGGAGAATGCTGACACGTCTGAAGTCTAGAATGTACAGTTCAGTCTGAATCAAATCACCTATGGAGCCAAGGCGAAGCAGATGACGGGTATAAGAGCTCATGGTGTTATAAAAATGAGACTTACTACGATGAAACACGAGTACACGATTCGGTAGAATCAGAAATACTAACATTGGCGACAAAACACAATTCACCCGATGAATGTAGCACACCGGAGCGTCCATGGTCGGGTCATCACCTTTCTAGACTTGTTTTGTGCTTTAAGAGGTTGATATATGAAACTCTTTATTCAGTATGGCCTAACGTTGTCGTCGTCTTGAGGCTGAACATGTTTCAAGCAGAAGATTATGCTCTACCCCGCCAAGCGCTTTATCAACCCTATTGGTTTCGACATCGTGAAAGGAACCCCTGAAAAAGACCCCAATATCGCGACAATCAACTTGCGGAGGGTCCCACGAAAGTGTACGCTGTCCCATAAGTTGTAAAGTTGCGGTTG